TACTGCTACTGCTACTGCTACTGCTACTGCTACTGCTACTGCGACTGCTGCTGCTGCTGCTACTGCTACTGCTACTGCTACTGCTACTGCTACGACGAGTACTAGTACTGTAACCCCGCAGATAAAAGCCCGCTGCCCTGCCTGGGCGACATCTACCGGATGTTAAAGGCCGCAGAGCTTTCGTTCTCCATGCCTCCGGTGCCTTGGATCGGTCTTTGTGGATGATAGCGACATGGAACAGCCGCAGCACCTGGCAGGTGCAGGAAGGCCACGTTGTGGAGTCTGTCGTGAACCGCAGCGAAGCTGAATTAATTAGTGAAGGTTTTGTAGCTGCATTCCTGCATGAATGAAGTAATAGCATGTGGCTGGCGATAGAAAGTCCTTCCAAGACCCACTTGGCAGAAGGTATCTTGGTCGGGAGGAGCAGCCGGGAATCGGCAGCTTCGCGCCGGGGCCCCATGGCACTCAAGCAGCGGATGCTCGATCGCTGTGGAGAACTCTGCCTTTCTCCTTGCGCTAATTCTCCAGAACTGATCGCAGGTTTCACTACCTGCAGGATTTTGCAGGGCAGCTGGTCCGCAGGCCAGGCGTGCTCATCAAATTCCGCTGCCAGTTCATGTTCATCGGTTCAATGCTAATTTCTGCAGGCTTACTCGAGCCATCGATACTGTCGTGAGTGTGATTGAAACCAGACGGTTTCTTCTGTGCTACGCTGGTTGAGCACATTGGTCACTGCATCCACAAGCAAGCTGCATTTTTGCTGCAGCGCCGTCCTGGTGATGATGCTCATGGGCTTCCAAGACTGTCTGCAGGGGAAGCAGGCCTGTTTCACTGCTCGGCATTGCTTGCTGGAAAGAGAGATTCATCCCAAGCGAAGCCATGCAGAGACATTTATGCAGACAACACTCTCTCCAAAGGCAAGAGTTCGGGCAGATTCGAGCACACTGCTTGGTGGCAGGCATCTTTGCCACCTTTTGCACGCATCCTGTTTGTCATACTTTTCGGATGTGCAGCATGGCAGCATTAGTTCGCCTGGTGATTACGATGTGCGATGGGTCAGGGACGTCATCCCGGGTCCCGTCCTCCTGAGGTATGCCTGCACAAGTTCGCCGTGCTAGCAGCAGCAGCCTTGGAAGCTTGCGGCCGTCGGGCCGCCGGCAAGCAGCTACAAGCAGCGGGCCGCCTGTTTAAGCTTTCGAGGCATCCTTACCACTTCACCGGCCGCCGCCGCGGTCATTGCGCGCCCGACGCTTCTACACGTGCTTGGACTTAGTTGCCTGGCTCTCGCAACATGTCCTGACAGGCGCTCTTGTTTGTCTGGTCGCTTGTTCTGTGGTTTTTGGTGCCACAAAGCTATCCGGAGTATGGTGTTTGGTGAGACAGTACTGCGTCTATGCCGGGAACTCCAGGGCAATCTGCTTAACACCCAAGGCAGGTAAGGCAAGATCCCATGGTGGTGTCCAAGGAGCTTGCGGGTTTGGGACATGACGGTCCGACAACTTCAGTTTAGGGTGGCCAACGCGTTATCCACGCTTTGATAGCAGGACAATCCCGTAAACAGAAGGGTGTTTATGCCTCTGAAGTCAGTCATCGTGCCAGCATAAGACCGCCAAACAGTGGTACAGCACCACGACGACCATGACGACCACCACGACCTCCACGACCACCACGACCACCACGACCAACACGACACGACGGACCATTACGACATATTACGACGAATACCTCGAGCACCAACCAGGAGACCGTGAGGAGACCATCAGGGGACCACCAGGAGACAACCAAGAGAACACCAGGAAGCCGCCAGGAGACCCCTAGCACCAGGAGACCGTCAGAAGACCACCCTCTCCATGCGCTGACGGGATTCTGAGATGTGACCAAAACGCTCAGCGCCATGTACTAACAAACGGTCATGCGTTTCGAGGCAAAACTGAGACCTTTTGATGGGAGTAAACAACATGCTTTCCGGTGGACGCGGCCGTGCCGAACGTCTGTATATCATGGGACAAGAGTACAAACTGCGCAGCGCCCCACCGCGGGAGCGCAGAATATTCCGGGCGGGCATCGTGGGCACCTGGCGCTCTAACCAAATCATGCCACGCTGAACGCAACAACCCCAGAATCTGTACACTCATGCACTCATGCCATTGGGTTGTGCACAAGAAAATCGTGAATAACACGGCTCAGTGTCTGATTTGCGCCAGATTCAATCCTCCGGCAACGCTTTTGTCGCCATTCTTGTCGATGCTCTGTCGTGACTATGGCGGTTCTCGCCGTAGAGGTGACATTTCTGTGCAGGATCGGCAGAAGCCCCTGTAGAAGATCCCACGGTTTTGGACCTTGCATTTGTTTGCCAGCATCAGCCGGAACAGCAGCTGACCGAGCATGTGAAAAAATGTCGCACGGAAAAGCCAACGACAGGCAACACAGGAGCTCGTATACCCGATCCCATTAATGTCCCAGGGCTGATCCACAACGTTTGGCTCGACATGCCGCAGAGGCCTGCTGCTGTTGACCCTTTTGTAGGCACATTCACAGAGTCACTGCTGCGGCGCTTGTGTAGGCGTTGACTACTACTTGCATGCTGGCGGTCTGGTGCGCCCTCCTGGGCTTATGGCCTTGTGTCAACTACATCCAGACTTCAAGAGTTTCCCAGGAAAACCACGAGGTATTTACAGGAGCGCTTGCCGATGCTTGTTGTCCGTGTCAGAAAGTAGTTCGCAGTTGAAGGGCTGAAGTTCCTCCCTGAGGTACTTTCGCGGAGAGTTGCCTCTTCTGGCATTTCTGCCTTTTGGGTTCGTCGGCCTGTGTCTGGTGCGCCATTGCTCAATACATCCGAAAGCAGTTGGAGAGGGGATTTCGGCCTGAAGTTTAGAGAGTAAGCGCAAGAGGTGTCACGCAACGTAGCGGGAGCAGAGTGAGAAGAAACGCATGCAAGATGCTGCTGCAAGCCGGTTTGACAAGCAACGCAGGAAGATTTGAGTTGAGTAATCGAATGTATACTGGTCTTGCTGGCAGAAAGAACATTGCCTTGTTTTCGGCGACATAGTGCGACATACCGCGTTTGCATCGACATGAAGCGTGTCAGCATTTTCAGGTACTGAAGATATCTTCCGGTGTCTTGTTCCTGGCTTAGTGGAAGAGTGTGCCTGTGCTTCAGGCACGCAGGCTAGCTGGTTGCAGGGCAACGGTTTCTACAGTTTGTAGAGGGTAAGGAAAACAGCGGGGACAGGCATTTTTTGCTCGCGATGTTGCTTGCTTGTGTATGCTATAACATGCCGTAACCATGTAACTCGTAAGCTGTTTTGACATTGTTTCTGAACATGTCTCTTCACAGTGCCATGCCCTCCCTCCTTGCAATCGCGAGTGCCGATACCGCTGTTTGATGCTTGCTCTCCATCCTGTAACCAGTTGTAGTGCTGGAAACTTTGAGACAGTCACCTCAGTCTCTGACAATTGACAATGCTGCGTAGAGACTGCATCGAACTGGCCTGCTATCTTCTCCTGCTGAAAGGTCGTGGTCTTGCCTGTTCGGTCTGCTTCGAAACATACTCTGGCCGCTGGCTTAAGGGGCTTCTGGGACATGCACAACACCACCTGCCAGAGCAGCTATTTCAAGCTGATCTGCATCAGGTGCGCGCTCGTACCAATCTTTCTTCTTCGGCGGATTGGATCGCTACTAATGGCGCCTCGACTTGCCCGAGCCTGGGATGCCGCAGCTTCATCTGTAATGGGCTTTTCTTAAAGCCGCCGTGTGCCAGGTGCTAGAGTTCGTCCAGGCCTCAGGCTCACACTCGTGATGCTTGCGAGCCCTTCCCTGACTGTCGAGAGCAGAGGTCCATCCTCTGCAGCCGCTCCCTCATGGCCTCGTGGCATTGTCTTCCTTGATGTTTGCCATCGTGTCGCCGTGCGCCCTCCCGCTATGATCCGGTGAACCTGGGTGCCAGCTGCAGCTTTTGATTTGCCTCGCGCCAGGGTTTCAAACCTCCCGGCACTTCAGCTCTGCGTTTAGGGGTTTGGGTTCGGGGCCTAGGGCTTTGAGGTTTTGGGTTTAGGGCCTAGGGTTCCGGGGCGTAGGGTTTTCAGGGTTTTTCTTTATAGTACGTATGTAAATATGTCTTTCTGTATATATGTCTCAAGCCAGCTGCTGTTATAATTTCAGTTCTCATTCTGCATCATCGTAGGACCTAGGTTCAAACCGAAAAACGCACTAAAATCCCTAAAGCCCACGAAATTCTAAAGTAGTTGTGTTGGTAACTTTGCAACCGGAACTGGGCATGTCGACCGTAACAATTTTCAAGGGGCGGGAGCTGCGGCTCTTGGACCGTACCGCTTAATTGGCAACCTGAGCATGGACGTATTCGACGAGAACATGCGCGGATCGCAACTGCTCCCTCCTAATATGGATAGTCCTGATCTAATTAAGGCAGCGGTTCTCTGAGTAGAACTATAGACATCTCTCAGTACCCGGTTTTCGTTCCGTCCACCTTTCCATGCTCCAGCGGCCATGGCCGACGTCGCCGCAACATAGCTGGTGACAGCTGGGCAGAACAGACGGCACCAGATGCAGGTGAGATTCTGAGATGGACTGGGGTTGGCTCAAACTCGATCGAGGCTTCCCGAGGTTAGATTCACGCTTTTTGCAATTTCGTGTTGGTTTGTTACCGCTCCCCCTGCCGGATCAAAGCTTAGTGGAGGCTGGTGTTGGCTGCGAGAAGCTGTAAGCTTCGCCCAAGGACTCAGAGGGGCTGCGCCAGCGAGGCGTTCGGCCGCTGAGGCGGGGCGAGCTCTGAGAACTGAAAAGCCTCCTTTCGGTCTGCATGGAGGCCGGCTTATCACGAGACACCGCTCTGTTCCATCGGCAAGACTGTCCGGGCCAGGGAACCAAGGAACTCTGATAGATGATAGATCTTGGGTTTGTATCGCCGGGCTCGTCTCGTGTTGTCAGGTGAATCTGCCCTCGGGCCAGATTCGGCGTGCCATTGTGGAGTATGTCAACGAAGACGGCACAGCGGGGTTCCCGGCACCAGGGAAGCCCGGCGAGTCTGAAGCCACAGTTCCGCTGCACGGAGCGGGTTTCAGTAGTGGCTCCTAAGCACCCTTCGGATCCCTTCGGCATCTGCAGACGACGGCGTTGATTCCATCAGGCCATGGCAGTTGACAAGAAGCACAACGCAAAGGGTTGGCAGCATACATAGGCGAAAGTCTGGATGCAGGCACTCTTCACTTAGAACAGGCAAAAACAGATGTTGTGTTTGTGTCAGCTTGTTCAACAAGGACACCCAGTCGCCGCTCCAGGTACCTCACAACCTCTTAGTTGTTTTGCAGCATTTTGCGATCAAGCAATCCTGCTGAATGCTCCTTGATCTGCCTGGCACCATGTGGTCCCGACTTGCTCTGTGTGCCTGCTTGGCCGGCTCTGTTGCCGCTATGTGCCCGGATGATCCGGAGGTGGACTTGTGCGAGGAAGCTGCTGGTGAAACAAGTCACAGCATCCGAAACGGAGCTTGGATGGCGCTGTTCTTGCCGTTGGCTTCGACGCGGCCCAGCCTTGCAACAGGCTTGGCCATGGCTCTGACTGCCGGGTCGGTGGGCGTGGATGCTGTGACTTGCGGCGAGCTGAAGACCTTCTACAAGAACGAGCAGTGCTGTGGCCAGCCCACGCTTGAGCTCTCCGCCGCAGTGCCGGGAACGGCTTCCTGCCCATACTCTTTCGCAAAGCCCGCTTGCTCCAATGCCGAACCTCAGACGCCGCGTGACCTGACGGCCGGCGCGGTCGGCCAAATGACGCCGAAGGCGGCAACCCTGACCGATGATCAGGCGAACTTTCTGCCCCTGGTGAATGTCCACTTCCACTTGGGTGCAGAGCACAAAAGTGAGGCAAGGCCATGAGCCATGACAGTTTCGGCATGCTGCAGCTTTCCAGTACTTGTAGCTGTAGCTGCTCTTCAAAGCCTAGGCCTACAGCGACGACACGGACTCGATTGCCTACGATGCCGCCTCGTCAGGGCGACGCCTTGCCGGCAACCCTCGGCCAGGCTTCATGTGCAGCAAGAGCTCTTTGAACGCCACGCAGCTGGCCCCGTACAATTTCAGCTATTGCAGCTTCTCCCAACATCAAGCTTTGTTTCGTGTGCCTTGAGTAGTATCGGACAATCTTGGAGTAGTGACTTCCTTGATGGCCCTTATGGACTGCGTGTAAGGCAAGGGCGACGTGCAGGTCGGAAAGTCCTACGAGATTCACTACGTGCATTCCTCGGCTGGAACGGATAACAACCCTGCGGCTGCTTGGTGGCTTAGGCTTAGTGCGTTCTTCTGTACTACTGGTAGCGACTCGCTTCTTTGATGGTTTGCGTAGTTGGTAAAGCCTCCAGGACGCTATCAACGCAGACTTGTTGGCAGATGGCCTAGGAGGTGGGACGGGCAGTGGTGGCAGGGGTCCTGCTTTGTGCACGCATCGTCCCGTTTCAGTCTCCGATTTGTATTCTGGACTGTCTGCAGGCGCCGCCAATGGCCGTGGCCTCCTCAACCCCATGGTGGTAGTGCAGGGGCAGATCTTCCAGATCGTCAACGGTGCGGCAGATGTCGATGACATGTTGCACGGCTGGACTGTGGTGGGCCACGACAACTCTGTCATGTACCCCGGGAGCACTACAGGTCAGAGCCACGACAACGAGGTGTGCTCTCCATACTCCATCACCTGGCATGTGGACAAGGATTGCCATCAGGTATCTCCCGAGAGTTTTGACATGCTGTGCAAACAGATGAAGGAGACCTATGGAATGGACGACGACCTTTACCCGCACGGTTCTCGCATGCTGGTGGATCCCATGTACGTGGTGAAGTCTGAGTTCGTCAAGCCATTGGCGTAGATGAGTGATACCCATCACTGCCATCACGTTTTAATATGTAAGGCCAGTTTCTCCGCAGCAACGATCCCAACGCAGTAGTTGCTGTCGTAATCTCAGTGATTCTTTATAAGATGGTCTCTTGCAATTATCGTCGATTGCACACGGCTTAGACTTTGAGCCTCGTTCTAGGAAGAGTGCCAACGCCTGAGGTGTTGGTGATTCTGCAGTTTAGCTTGAGAATAAGTTCAGATGTGTGAATGGACATAGGGGACTAGCAATGCGCTTGCAGAGCATTGCTGAGATGCAGCAAGATTAAGTAAGCTCTGCTTTTCCTTTGACTTGGGTTACGGCCTTGGGGTCGTGCCAGTCCGATAGCTGAGTTGCAGTCCCGTCAGAGAGCCATGAAGCAAAGAAGAGAATAATCGTCAGAGTTGCATCTTAGGGTAGAGCGTGGGTCTTGGATCGGATGTGTCCCTGAGGTGGATGTCGCCTTTGCTGGGGCTTCCGTGAACTTGGCTGAGGCTCGCATTGCATGTTGTGTCAGCCCCGCTACTTTTGGCAACACACCGCACGACCAGGCCTCGAAAGACATGGGAGCGACTGAAGCGACCGTGGCTGCTGACAGCCTAAGGCCCCACGAGTGGCCCATCAGTCTGCGCGCTTGTTTGAGATACTGCAGGCCGCTCCATGACGAGGAGCTCTCCTTCGAGGATGACGAAGCCTTCGAAGGCGCTGGTGCACAGCGCGCTAAGGCTGGGCCCAAGCCAGGTTTCAGGCAGATGTGGTTGAGAAAGCCGCCATGCTGTGCCCAAGAGGGTGCCGTAAAAAGGCTGCTGCCCCTTTGCTCACAGGAAGTCGGAAACCTTGTGTTCAAGCTCGGCGACATGGAGGCTAGTGCCCAGATGCTCACAGCTCACACATCCAGCTCACGTCGCCAGCCTGATTGATCTTCCCTTGTGGTGCAAGGCTGCAGCAGAACTCTATGCCCGTGCACTGAAAGTGCTCGAGCGATGCGAGGTCTCATCAAGTCCTACCTTCAGTGTAACTTCCTACAGTGTTATCCCGCTTGATTGCCACTTCAGCCCGCCCAGCCTGGTGCAGCTAAGAGTCATTGTGCTCGGGTCAGGATGGCGTCGAATGGGTCCTGGCAAATCGAAGCTCGACTGCGATAGCTTCGTAGGCGTGGCCTGCTGGGCGGAAGCGGGCCGAACTGCCCAAGGGCATGGCTCTTTGCAGCCTGCTCGAGTGTGCCGAGGCTGGCTTCGGGGGGGATTGGGCACGCGCGCGCGACTGTTACTTCAAAGCCCATGCATCGTGTCGGTCTCCATGGTTCTCCCACCTGCATGCTCACAGTATGCTCACGCTATGCTCACGCCCACATCCGCCTCGCCTCGTGTGCAAAACACACGTGGGCATGGAAGGACCTCGCCTTCGCCGCCGCTCGCGCCTTTGCGGCCACCCTGCTCGCATTGCTACGATCTGGCGCTGCCAGCGTCGGCGACCCGCTGTGGCTGAACGATCTCCTGACAGACTCTCGCTTCGAGTTACCTCCCCCATCACCTGCGCCAGTCGCCTTCCACCCCACAATTTTCGGAAGCTGAGCGTCCTGCGGGTGTGTGTGTGTGTGTGTGCCCCTTGCCTGTCCGAACGCATGGATCAGTTCCATCTCTCCGTCACTGTCTCGTTTTCATGCTGTTGCAGTTAAGCAAGCCTGCAACAGGTGCACCTGACCGCGTCGACCTGAAATTCTGTGGGACCGACGAGGCACCTGATGCCCGTGTCCTGACTTTTGGTTTCCTGTCTAGACTGCTACGGAGGTCCTTCACGGAGTTCCGCTCTCTGCAGTGCTCGGAGTTCGGTTGGATCAGCTTTTGCTTCAAGAGTCTCGGACAGCATGCAACAATGCCTCTCACAGATGAGGTTGCCGCATCGAGTCGAGCGAATGTGCGAGACAAGAGATGTTGCGCCGTGCTCCTGAGACCAGTCTGCAGGGCAGCTTGCATCTCAATCGCTCACGAGCACTGGCGCAGCTTGGACACCAAGCTGAAGCTGCACAGGCCCAGTCCCGTCAGTTCTATTTGCGAATTATTCACGAAGTTCGAGTGTGGAAGACACAGGGCTCAAAACCCGGCCTGGTCCACACATGTTTCAGAGCGGAGGTGGAAGGCTGAAGGCGTCTGGCCAGGACCTGTCCATCGTGATCTCGCTGTGGGCTGCCCATGCTGCAGCAGGTTCCCCGCGAGTTGGGAAGGACGAAGAGTGCAAGGAACAGCTGGTCAAGGTGCGACATGGTGCGACTGTGTAACCCCTCCCGCAACCCCAAGCAGAGGCGTCCAGAGCCTGGTTCCGAGGCATTCTACCTCCGTGCCAAGACGCGAATGTCGAGGCAAGGCATTTGCATGCATTTGCGTTGCACGGCGAAGAGTTCCAAATACAATGATTCTGTCGGGAATGAGGCAGCGAATCGAGCCTGCTCGCAGTGACCTGGCAGCTGCAGCTGCACTGAGGCAAAGCCTCTTAGCTCTCAAAGTCGAGGTTGTCGGTGCAAACGATAGAGGGGATGATCGATTGCCAGCACTGGCGGTTCCTGCAGATCAGCAGGCCTGCCGAAGCAACTGCTACACTGCTGCGCCAGGCCAGGAAGAAAGTGAGCCAGTCAACAGGATCTCCGAAACCAAAGTCCAGCTGTGACATGATGACATGATGTGACAGTGGTACGCACACACAGAGCTCGTTTGTAGCGCAGGAGTGCGTGGGAGCAACATATATTGAAACAATCATGGAATCGAACATTAGGATGTCGATACACACATGGTTTCAATAAAAGGCCCATCACCCAGATCAAGATGCATCTGAATCAGAGTTTAGGGTATTTATATATGTACATAGGTGTGTGTGTGTGTGTGTGCGTGTGTGTGCGTGTGTGCGCGCATGTGTGTCTTCGGCTCGGTTCAGGTGTTTGTCTTTTTGTCCGTGGCTCTGCGAGCGTTTGTCTGTCGTTGTGTGCCTGTGCGCGTGAAGGTGGACATTCCGTGCTGCGATACAAAAGCAGGCATATGCGTCTCTGTGCAGCCAAAAAACAAAGACGGCCAGAGCCGGTGAAGCAGGGAAGAGAGGGCGGTTCGGCGTTCGGGGAGCGGGGGGGCGGGGCTGGGAACCAAAAGCATAGGTGTTGATATTCGTTGGTGCTTGCTTGGCAAAGGGAAGTACAACAGAAACATGAACAATGTACCAAAGTATGAGAGACCATGGCATCCGCCCCCCCCCGAAAGGAACGCATGTTTCAACCCCGCTGGCTCCGGCCATTGATCGCATTGTCTTCGTAGTGTTTCTTGGGCTGCGTTTGTTCATGCGTGTTAGTTGTTTCTTTCGTTCCTGCATCCCGGCCGACGATGAAAGTTAAGTTGCTGGACCAGATTTTACTGTCGTTTTTCTGCCCTCTCATTCCATCTGTCCAAGCGGTCAAGTATAAGAACTAGGAGGGCTCAAAATTGCCATCCTGCAGGCTGAGCGCGAACTTGAAGCTGTACAGAAAGAGAAGGCGCATCGCAGTCAGTCGAAGCCAGGCAGCAAGTCGCGGCTTGAAGTCAGGTGAAGCTTTCTGCACGGCATTGCATGCAGGTCCGAAGCAACAAAAAGCTGGCAAAGGCAAGGACATCGTTAGACCAATGTTGCTACCATCATAGCTCAGAGCTACTTCCGGCATGCAGCGGGTCACACGTGTATTGGCAACTAGATGCGACGTTCCTGTGCGAAGGGGCTGCCAGAGGAGGGGTATATGGGGTATGCATAAGACATAAGATCGTTCATGAGAGATGTTGCGATGTCGGACCATGGCTGGTCACAGGAGATTGCCAACTTCGCAGACTCCGCAATGTCAGGCCGGGGCCTGGGCGCTTTGAAGAGAAGGCAGCGCCCGGGCCCGCCTTCCGAGGTCTCTCTGAGGCAGAGCTGGCAGCCTTGGGCGCGGGAACCGAATGATCGCAGGAAAAGAGGGTGCGGCTTTTGGAGTGCTTCTTGAGGTTAGCACCTAAGAGCCTAGACGCTTAGACGGCTGAAGCGATCGCCAGGATGGGCCTTGAAGCTTAGACGAGTCCGAAAAGTCTTTAATCTCTGAACATGACCGGCTTTGTGTGAAGGGCCCGGCTCGAAGGACGGTTCGTAGGAGCTTGGCTCCAAATTTGCTTGCATGCTTCAATGCAGCTTTCGTTTCCAGCATCTTGAAGTCTTGAACGATCTGTGCATCTAGACTTGGGGTGTCATGGGAAAGTCTGAGCGACCGACCTGCGGAATCTCGGATGCACTTCAGTGGCGCCCTACTCCTGCAAGAGTCCAAGCCTCGGCGAAACGCTCGAAATGCGGTTTTCCAGCCCCTAAGGCCTGGAGTGCCTTGAGGAGGCTCTGCGCTCTTTGGGCGAAGTTCCTGCGTGGAAGCATCTGCCGAACACGCAGCAGCAACATCAGTGCAGAGGCATCCGGGCTGCCCGGACATTGCTCATTGCTTCAACTTGCTTGTGAGATGTCGTATTTGTGGCCACATTGCTGAGCTTGGTCACATGAGCATTTCCAAGGCTGCTCGTGTCTAACTGTTTGGATGCTTTGTTGTAAATACCTGTTGATCTCGTGGTTTCTCGCGTGACTCGCCCTCAGGCTGGAAAGCTTCCGTAGCCTGGCTGCAAGCTGATGGTACTGTGAAAGGTGAAAGTCGTTA